CGGGGTAATAGCTGAGTGCATGCGGACTCTGCAGCGGAAGCGGCTTGATGCCATACGGCAGGAGGCTGGAGGCAGAGTACTCGCTCTCATAGGACAGGTCCAGTTTACCAGACACCCCACTTTGCTGAACGGGCCCCACGAACCAGCGCTGAGCCGAAGCCGAGCCTGCAGCCGAGTCTTCAATCTGAGGAGAAAGCAGGCCGTTGGTCTGTGGCACGGCGCGCTCGCTGGCGTAGAAGCGGTGGTTTTGCGGCAGGTTGTTTACAAACTGGTCTTGGAAGAAGGGCTGCATTGCATAGCGGGCGCCGGGGACAATCTGGTGCGACCGCGGAGAATCAGTAGGAGAGGGCGTCAGTCTGTCGCTCTCTGGAGCCGTGTACATCCTGAGAGAGAAGCGGCAGAGAAGGACAGAGGCTGTTAGCAGTTCGTCTTATCGCTCTAAAGTGATGCTTTCTGATCAGCTGCCTAAAATATGATGCCTGGAATATCAATCGATGCACAGTGGGGGGAAAATAAATTGGTGCAGAAACAATTTGCACTCAGAAATTGCTATTAAATTTCACAATTACAAAGAAACAACAAGTAACACACTGAATTAAATGTGAAATTTTAAAGCAGAAATAATGAAATTGTAATTTCTTGTAAAGCATACTCCAAAATACTTTGTTTTATTTTGAAAAAAAAATAATAATTTACAGGTGTAGCTAAAGAGTTTCACTAAACAGAGGGAAAAATATATTATTAAAATATAAAAATGCAATTTCATAGATATATAAAAATTACATTCATTACAAACTAACAAAGAAAGATACTTATAAAGCATTTTATTTATTTTTTTTATAATTAAACATTTAACAAAAGTTATTATTATGATATTATTTAATGAACCTGAGCTAACATGAACAGTTGCATTTTTATTAATGCATAATTTTAGTTAATGCATTGACTTTGTTAACTAATGGGACCTTGTTGTAAAGTGTTACCATATAAATATTGTAAATGCAGTCCCAATTTATCCATGTTCACCCTTCATACTACGGAATTGTATAAACATTGCATTGTAGCATAAATGCATAGAAAACTAAACTGGAAAATGTTCAATTTTGTATTATTTAAAAGAAAGGTTTTCAGACTCTAAAAGTAAAATCTGGAGCTGTGCTCATTTTTTTGCTTAGGACTTTTGTTAAAATAAAGGGACTGACAAAAGGAAGGCCCGTATATTTTTGGAGAGGTTTCATAATTCGCTCATTGTCACTTTCTGTAGTATGAAATGCACTTACGAATCATAATTGTCTCTGAAGCCTTTTGCGAAGGGGTTGTGGTCGATCTTGAGCTGTGTGATCTGCAATTAAACACAAACACCAGGAGTTCAGAAGCAGAGCAAAATGCAGAAGTGGCTGCAGGGAGCTGCGGCTGGGTAACTGCTTACGTCTGTGTTCTGGTAAGCCGTTACAGCGATGAACTGGTTTTCAGGGAAAGTGAAGGTCTGTGTTTTAGCTTCGTTGCTCATGTCCTCCACACCATCCTCTGTCACCTCCACGATGTGCAGCCGCGGCTGGTACTTGTGCAGAGACTGCATGACGATCATCTATTTCAACACACACACACACACACACACACACACACAGAGACAGATGGCATCAGTGTTTGTGCAGAGTTCATGGCCAGCGCTTGCAGTTAGACGAACAGAGGTGTCAAAGCCGCACACTAAAGACCTCTGAGATGACTGAAGTTTCTTCACACACACACACACACACACACATTTATCTTTATCTTTAAAATGCGCCAGATGCATCAGTTCTTTGAAACATGCACTAAAATATCACACAGTAAAGAAGTAATATTTAAAAGTTGTTTTTTCATCTATTTTTGGTGTTGAAGACAGTATGATTTACACTCTCAGAATAAAAAAAAAACATCACTTTCCAATATTATGTCAGCTCCAATTTTTTTTTTTTGTGCAACAAAACAAGTCTAATAAACAAAACAGTTAATGCATGACTTTATCATATTTTCCATCAACAATTCCTAACTGATACATTAAAACACTGAATATTGTTAGTAGTGTTATTTGTTTACCTGAGTATTGTTGTTATTTGCGCCCTTGTTGTTGGTTAGCTTCAGTTTTCCGAATGATATTTCTTGCCTCATCCAGTGTGCTCCAGTGTTTGGTGATTCTGGGTGAACATAAACCTTGTTTCCTACAGAAAAAAAAACCAAGAATATTAATGTTTCGTGTGGTATTAAATTATTAGTTTGTCTAAACAGACAGAAAAAGCATCCACCGGAAAAAAAAAAGCAGCAGTGAACTTAAGCGGTAAAAAAAAAAAAAAAAAAAAGCTCCTTCGTGAAAAACAGATGTATTGTGACTAAGAGCGATTTGTTTTGAATAATTCTAATACATATAGCAGAATAACACGTCCACCCCCGCGTGTTCTCGAGTGCCATCGCTGAGAATCGCGCACGTTAAATGTGAAACTTGTTTCAATGCAAAATACACTCATTTTTAAACGAAATGACATGTTAAACGGTGAAAAAAAAAGATTAAGGTAAAATAAAACAAACGCGCGCATACAGAAACATTTTTGGAAATCGTAACGTCATATTTTAGTTTTAAAATGCCTGGTAAATTATTTTAAGAAATTCGTTGATTTTCATGCATTTCAATTAGGCCTATACCAGCGAAGATTTTATATATTTAACTTTGCAATTTAACAATTTAAAATTGCAATTCCACTCAAAAGAAGAAAAAAAAAACAAATAGCCTAATTTATCTTTTCGATTTATTTGATTACACAGTTTGCATGCATGTTTAATGAAATTTATAACAAAAACACTTGTCATTTAACTGAAGATATAACAGGTTGTCATGTTGCTCGAATTATTTTCATATCATCTCGTGGTTATTTTTCTCTTTCCTCACCTTGCATGTTGTTGTCCGCTTTCCCGCAGGTGACCCATTTTCCTCCCTGAAATCTCCAGTGGTTGGGATCGGCCAGAATAACCTCCACAAACACGTTATAATGCGCCGTCAGGTTCAGTCCAGTGATATTAAAACTCAGAAAGGGGAACATTCGCCTGCGAATAGAATCGTTAATAAAACACAAATTATTAGAGCGGGTTCGTTTAATCACCCTTCGAAAATTAATTCGTTATTCAAACCAAGCGTATAATAACTTATATTTTGCATATTTTGTGTTTGATATCAATTTTAAACCAATGCATTTATATTCTAAACTGCTCTGTTTTTAAGCGAAACTTTACCAACTTCTCATTCTCACCTGCCCTGTTTGGTGATGATCATCTCGGTCTGATGGCGGTGAAATTTGAGCCACAGCGGTCTGTTGCACAGGTAAACCTGCGCCCTCGCCGCGGAGCCCGAACCGGGGATGGGCATCGAGCTCAAACCGGAGCCCGGTCCCGGATAGGACGGGTACAGACACCCGGGACCCTGTCCGAACTGATACCCGCTCCCAAACTGACTGCGACCGGCGCACACGGCGGAGGAGAACCCGGCGGGCTGAAGAACCGAGCCGTAATGCAGAGACGACGAATACCTGGACCCGTTCGCGCCGCTGTACACCGACCCGGTTTGGCCTCCGTACGGGAAGAGAGAGCACGCATTGGTCACGTCGGAGCTCGGTTGGGTGGAGGATATGAAATAGCGATCAGTGCCCAGCTCGTCGATGTTGTAACGGCGGGCGCTGGACAGCTCATCATCTCCAACGACCACCGGAGAACTTTTCCGCGCGTCCGGTGCGACGGATGCCGCTGCTTTATTCCCGGTGAAGCTCTCGCTGTCAGCCTCATCCATCAGCGCGCTCCCACCGCTCAAAAACTTCTTGGCACCGGAGCTCTGCTCCGCTTCAGTCCGGTCCATGTCCTGAAAGTCTATCTGCGTTGACCCCGGGCTGTTGTTGGTGCTCTCTGAGGACGACGACAGGTTATAGAAGGTCTTGGGTAAGTTTACAGATGCGCCAGGGAGGATGCTTTCTAACTGCATTCTTCAATGTACTGATGAGGATCAATCAAAAGCAGGTGGAGATCAATAAGAAGATCACACCAGGACGCGGATCCGTGGGCCCCGCAGCCTTGACCTCTGAAGCGACACCTCCGGACTTTCTACTGTAATCTGTGAGTGACAGAGTTGTTTGAGAGAGTTTATATATGATCCAGCTCGAGGGGGCGGGGCTTTGGCAATTCGTGGCTTCTGACCGTTTTCTCATTGGCTCGGAGGCCTCCGTTTTAACTACACCATTTAAAACAAATACATTTTTTTTGTACTCGTTTACATTTTAGGGCTTCTATTTTTATTGACTTAAAATGTATCCTTGGTATTATTAGGCAATTCAAAACCATGTTTTTCATATAGGCTGCATTTAATTTGGAATATTTACCATAATTGTAGTTTCTGACTTAAACTTTCCTCACAGTAGCCTACATTTCAAAATTCGTTTCCAGCCAATTAATGAGTGTTAATTTGAGAATGACATTGAACCCACAGAGGAACTTGACACCGTTTTAGAAGCACCGAAAACAAAACAATTAACGAGTCCTCCAGGCTGACCTGAGAACGGTTTTATCTAAATACACTGGAGCTCGACTGAACTTGGCAACCCAAATAATTAACAAACGATTAACGAGGAAACCAAACTCACCACAGACTGTCAGGCAAGACCGCCATGCCTTGAGTTTCTCTTGTAGCGGGGTTAAAGTTGAACCCTCTCCGGCTCAGTGTGTTTGGGGTAAATCGCGCACAGACGCTTTTCTCTTTTCGCTTTTCAGCGCAAAAAAACCTGATATTAGCGACCAGCAGCGTAAGTTCTCTCTGCTGTTGACAACGGAACGCACAAGTAGCCTGAACATTCGAAAATTCAGTGAGATTGTAACGTGAAATTGCCCAAAGCATTTCCTCTATTGAAACGTGTTGTGCATTTACATATTTAAGTGCCTAATCTACGTGTTCTAATGTGTATGTCTATTGTGAACCCTTGTTTCAGCGTCTACATGATACGGACGAGAAAACCGCAGGAGAGTGTGTTCGGCGTGCGCGAGGTGAGTGTGAGGCACGCGTCACCTGAGGGGTTAAAAAAAAAAAAAACATGTGCCTATAGTAATTATAATATGATTAGGTTTCAAATATACTCCGTTTTTAAAACAAATATATTTTTTTAGTTAAAGTAAATAAAAATACAACCATTCGTTTGTTTATGTGTATTATTTTAGAATTAAAATTAATAAACAACACATTAATTAAAAACAGGCTTATCTTTTGTTTACAATTCCTAATAGCTAATGATACAAAATGACTACTATAAGTTACTGAATCTCTAGAATACTAGGCTAGTTTATTAAATAGGCTTATATGTTTAAAGCGAAACATTTGCTGCGGAATATTAAGTTTTTTAAAGCTCGAAATAAGCAGGTTGTATGTATCAAAACGATTCAAACAATGTCCGAACACATTTTCAAAACGAGAAAAAAAAGGCAAAAAAAAAAAAAAAGCATGCAGGTCAACAGATGGAAAAACAATTGAGCCCCAGTTCACCATAAGGTAATATCTGATTGTCTTTATCATCAGGCGGTGGTAATAAAAAAGAGAGGGGCGGGGGGCAAATCCCACCCGGCTCAACCCCTTTCCAAGCTCGGGGAAACCGGCCAATTATTTTTCCGTGTGAAGGAACCGGTGATAGTGAAGGAAGAGACAGCCGGGCTTATTAAAACCCTTCTGTACCACAAATATGATAAACGAGAGACAGCGAGGTTTAAAAAAAAGTACACTTCCATAAGTGCTCTATTTCCGCGCACTAATTTTGTAGACTACTTAAACTACTAAAAATGACTCTTTAGTACTTCCAATAAGGAAACTTAAGATCAACTAAGTGTACTCAACTGTGCTATTTCTGGGACACCATATGAACCCATCTTTCATACACTAGTACACTCAAGTGTACAACAAATGGTTCCATGAAGAATCTTTAACATCCATGGAACCGTTTCCATTCTACAAAAGGTTCTTTATATTGGAAAAGTTTCTTCAGATTATAAAATCATTCTAAAATATAAAGGTTCCAAAAGGGGGTTTGCGCAGCAGAGCCGTAAAATAACAATTTTTGGAACCTTTCAGTGGACAGTTCTTAAAAGAACCGTTTATTTACTCAGTGTGAAGAACATTTTAATTATTTTTTTCACTTTAAAGAAATAGAGGTTCCCAAATGCAGTGTTTGTAATGATTCCATTTTTAAATATGAACTAAAATGCGCATTTAACATACTATATCTGTATTTAAAAAAATGTATTTAGTCACCACTTGTAGTACACTTGAGCGTACTAGTGTATAAAGGAGGGGTTCAAGTGTACTACAAGCGATAATGGTCGGTTACCCGGAAAGGGTCACCCGCTCAGCGCGAGAGCTCTTTAATGAAAAACCCCACCGGGTGTCCTCATCAAACCCATCCGCTGACTCTCTTTAGCTCGTCATTGTAATTAAAATTCCTTGATGACAGCCACAGGCCGGATGACAAATTAAAGAGAGTCAGTTATAGCTACATTTAATAAGTCATGCATGTTGTGATTATATTACTCGCAAAAAATAACACTATCATCCATTAACCTATTCACACTTTTTATTTGACCCATTTGACCTCGTTCTATTTGCTTTCAGAGTGATACCATGATTTGACCTGCTGCCGCTCTCTCACACATTATTCCTTAAATCAACAACATCTGCAGCTTCAATCTTTAAATCCTGCTCAATCATTATCAATGTAATGAAAAGCCAAAGTTGGATTCGGACTTGTCGTTTCAGCTCAGTCGGTGTGTCTAAATTATGAGATCAAATCCTGAAAGTTCTACAGAAGAAATTAGCTTTTAGACTGTCAGTCTTAAAAGTAAAGGTTGTTTATTGGCATCTACACGGTTCCACGAAGAACCTTCAGAAGCTTTCCATTCCACAAAAGGTTCTTTATATTGGAAAAGGTTCTTTAGATTATAAAATCACTCTAAAATATAAAGGTTCCAAAAGGGGGTTTTCGCAGCAATGCCATAAAAGAACCATTTTTGGAACCTTTCAGTGGACAGTTCTTAAAAGAATCATTTATTTACTCAGTGTGAAGAACATTTTAATTATGTAAAGAACAATTTTTCAAATTTCAGGTTCCCAAATGCAGTTTTTGTAGTGATTCCATTTTTGGAACCTTTCAGTAAAATAACCTGAGTGTGAGGAACATTTTAATCATCTAAAGAACCTTTTGTGGAATGGAAAGTTTCCATGGGTGTCAAAGGTTCTTCAGAAGCCAATAAAGAACCATTATTTTTAATAAAATGGTTCTTCTATTGCAATACTCTGAAGCTTTATTTTTAAGTCTATGAGTTGCTTTAGTTTATTGCTTTGTATATTTAGGCCAAAATATGTGTGCACATTATCTGTGTGCAGATGTGTGTTATGAGCAGAGAATATGTGTGTATATGTGTTTGCATGTGTGCAATCTAGAGATGTGTGAAGAATTTGGGGAAAAGGGGCTAAAAATCTGTGAAAAGACAGAGAGGGGGGCTGGAACTCAGCTGGAAACTGATTGGCTGCCAGCCTGAGGAGGAAATAAGAATCTGCTGTCCTCTCCGGTCTGGGACCTCGGTGACCGGGCGCAAGATGTCTGCCACGGCCCCCGAGGGCCCCGCGGCGTCCCCTCAACACTCCTCTGCCTCTGAAAGCGTCTTTCTCATTTTATTATTGACTCAAAATGCCACCCAGTCTTTATTTCCCTCGCTCGCTCTCTCTCTCGCTCTCTCCGTCCTGAGCGCACAGGAGAGAGTCGGGCGAAAGGCTGCGGGTGAATCAGGGTCACTCAAAATCAATACTGTGCTTTTAGATGGGACAGATACATAAGGGTCGGTAATAGTCTTAAATGTTCTTTTGTATCTCTCAGAGGCTTTGAGAAGGGAGACGGTGGAGTTAGGATTCTGAAAAATCACGACTCTTTTTAAATTTTCCAATGCAGAGTATTTTCATTGTGGTTCATCTGGGTCAGTCACAGCGATTTCACTCAGATACATGTGAACTAGTATAGTATGAGTATGAGTATATATATATATATATACTCTGAGTATATATATGAGTATATACTAGTATGAGTATAATGCACATTTCTAGGCCCCTCAGATGTCATGAAAAGAAGTACATGAAAAATGAACAATATATTGTAAACTTGTTTTTATAGGTGCCGTATAGATCAAGCTTATTGTTAGTGGCATTAACACGTTTTTGTGTGAGCATCGTAGTAAACTTCAATATTTGTGCTAATAACATGCCTATATTTTTTGTGTGTGCAAATTTAAAATGCATGCCCTTGCAAAAAAAAAAAGCAATTTACAGCATGTAATTGACTATTTAATTTAAATTCAATTTAATGTAGTTTATTGGCATGATAATGTGTGTTTACATACAGTATTCCCAAAGTATTATACACAAAACAAGTAGGCCTAATGAAGAAGCTTTTAATATAGGCTAACAATAACAATAAAATAAGTGCAAAGTAATGAATTAACAAGGTAAGTGTAAATATTATATAGGCTATGATTTAAAAAAATATATACATACATTTCCTTATAACGTATATCATAACATGCCTATTTTTTGAGTAGAGCTGAAGTAGTAATTTTCTAAGTGATTAAAATTACGATTTTACTTGGTAGACAATAAAAAGGCGAAAAAGCTTGCATATGCATATTATTTTAAATCGCAAATTAAATGAATAATATTAAAAAAAAGAAGAGCGATATTATTTGCAATTAAAGTGACGAGGTCTACACTCTAGAGTGCGCTAATTGTTCTCGGCGTGTATTATACCGCGGCTCCGTTACTGAGGTCAGTGACAGACTGGAAATATATTTACCCTCAAACTGCTGTCAACACCTCGTTAAACGAGTTTACAGCGTCCCGACGTAATCGATAAATTATTTCATTTCAAATCGTTTTAAAGTACTCACTGGCATGATTGTTTACATACAATAGGCTATTGTCAGCATTGCAGGTATTTTACAACAAAACAAGTGATAACAATAAAAAGAAACATAAAATAGAACAAATAACAATAAATTGGTATTAAAACTGGGTGCTGAATTAAATAATAATAAAACTGTTTATTTGATATTTTAAATCGCAAATTAAATGAATAATATAAAAAAAAAGAAGAGCGATATTATTTGCAATTAAAGTGACGAGGTCTACACTCTAGAGCGCGCTAATTGTTCTCGGCGTGTATTATACCGCGGCTCCGTTACTGAGGTCAGTGACAGACTGGAAATATATTTACCCTCAAACTGCTGTCAACACCTCGTTAAACGAGTTTACAGCGTCCCGACGTAATCGATAAATTATTTCATTTCAAATCGTTTTAAAGTACTCACTGGCATGAGTGTTTACATACAATAGGCTATTGTCAGCATTGCAGGTATTTTACAACAAAACAAGTGATGACAATAAAAAGAAACATAAAATAGAACAAATAACAATAAATTGGTATTAAAACTGGGTGCTGAATTAAATAATAATAAAACTGTTTATTTGATACCTTGCAACACACTTATTTTTTGCTTATTTCTGTATGATTAGAATTATTTTAAATTAAATTAATAATATTCAGAATAATATTGTTTGCTAATAATACTGGGCCACAGTGTTTATATACAGGTGCATCTCAATAAATTAGAATGTCGTGGAAAAGTTCATTTATTTCAGTAATTCAACTCAAATTGTGAAACTCGTGTATTAAATAAATTCAATGCACACAGGCTGAAGTAGTTTAAGTCTTTGGTTCTTTTAATTGTGATGATTTTGGCTCACATTTAACAAAAACCCACCAACTCACTATCTCAACGAGAGAGAGAGAAAAAATTGCCTTGGCTACTAACTAAAATAAAAACTTTTTTCTAATAAGTTGAATTTTTTTAATACTTCAATGTTTATACTTTAATAATTTTATTTGTACTGTATTTAGTTAAAGCTTCTTTAGTTTTAGTTAATATTTTGAATTAGGTTTTCCATATTGTTCTATTTTCACATTTTTACGTCTTCACTTTTAGTTAAAGTTTTCTTCATTTTGTAATTTTTTAAAATTTGTATAGTTTTTATTTATGTTTTCATTTATTTAGTTTGAGTTATTTTAGTACTTTAAGTTAAACTAAACAAAAATGGGAAAAAAAAACTGCCTTGGTAACTAACTGAAATAAAAACCTTTTTTTTTTTTTTAAAGTTGAATTTTTTTAATACTTCAATTTTTATACTTTAATTTTACTTCTACTGTATTTAGTTCAAGCGTCTTTAGTTTTAGTTACCTATAATAACCCTGGTCATTAGTACCATTCATTAGCGCTGCTATATTTCACAGTTGGCGGCACAAAACTCTATAAAACGAACTATAAAAGTGCAGCTCTTTCAGTCGTGAGGATTATGGACTGGTTTTTGAAGAGCATATCCATCTCTCATCGCTAGTGATGGGAGAAATTAAGCTTTTTAAAGCTTCAAATTCTATTCTTCGAATTTCTATCCTACACAATTATTTTAAACATAGGTTATTCTTCCAATTAAATGCATATTGTACGCATTAAACAAAATCACTGGTAAATAAAACATGCCTTAGTATCGATATTTTTTATTTGAGTATCGATACTTTCGATACTCGCATCGGTATCGATATATTGATCCTTTAGGATTGATACGCCCGTCCCTAGGCTGCATTCCAGTCTTTTTATGCCCTTCACTCGCAAACTTCCCTCCGTCTTGTTTACTCAGATGTACATCATTGATTACGTTGCATGAGTGGAACCCTTGCAATGGAATGAACTGGAACGTCCTAAACCCTTGATCAGTTAGAATCATACAGTTGGTTTATTGTTTACATTTTTCCCCTTACGAATTTGTTTGGTGCAGCATTCTATATGTATATAGGCATGCTTGGGCTGTTATAAATGTAAAAAAACAAAAACAATTTTATATTATAGAGTTGTTTGGGGTGGGGATAAATTAAACGCGATCTGCGATGACGTCACAATCGTGTTGCATTGTGGTCTATGGAGTGGCCTGAAGTGTGCATATGAAGCAGACTCGCTCCCTCGGTCAAAATCGAGGGGTCCATATAAACTTCCCTCGTCCACTTGGCGAAGTGGAACGCACTTCAAAATGGCAGCGGGGATTCCCCCGAGGGGAAGTGCTTAGGGAAATTTGCGAGTGTGTGTCTAAAAGTGGAGTGGAACGCAGCCCTAGTGTTTCTAAAGCAGCCATCACTAGTCATCGCTCCACCGAACCTCAAGACCCGCAGAAACCCAAATAAAGTTGAATTACAGCGTATACGTATAGATTAATTCCAACTGAGCCCAAAGTTTACGTTTCCTCGTAAACCCGCTCCCGTTCTGACCCGTTCACCATGTAGCGTGACCACCCATAAAAGCCGCGTGACCCCCGGCGGCCAGAGGTCAGGAAGTACCGCCATATTGTTGTCAGAGTCCATCAGCGGCGGACGCACATGAAAGCGGCGCATTCCTGCTTTATGATGCGATCGGTGCGAGATTCATGAACGCCGTCGACAGGATTAACGCTGTACGTCTCATTAGGGGATCCTGGAGCTGAGAGACGCTGCGGGAGGCGAGCTGAGAAACGTGGCCATTAGGGCGTCTCTTCTGCACTCCCGTCTGCTTTCACCTGCGCTTGTCTGCGCTCTCATCTGCGTTATGGGGATTTATTTTGCACATGAAGCACACCCAGGCCCGTGGCATCTGCTAACAGTCGCTCTTTAAAGAGATGGATGTCAGCGCTTGCGTTGAGTATCGAATGCCTGTTTGCTGTCAGAGCTTTTCGGGTGAATATTCAGTAACGTTAAGTGACCCTTAAATGTTCCCCGACTTCTCGTAAAACAAACCCCAAACAAATCAATGCTGAAAGGGAGAGTTCTCAGAGCTCTGCCATCGTTTACTCGCTACAAACCTGTATGAGCTTCTTCAGTGCAACTCAAAAGAAGATGCAGTCAAAGTCAATGGGGTCCAATGTTGAAATTTTATGTGAATTTTAGTCCAGCTGATCTTGTCCAGTTTCTCTGGATTTTACCCATTCTTGTTCTTTTTGTATTTAACAGTAAGTTAAAAAGGTTAATCACATTATAAATAAGGAATAAATAAGCCAAAAATGCAAGTTCTGTTGTCATTTACTCGCTCCAAACCTGTATGAGGAGCTTCTGTGCAACTCAAAAGAAGATGCAGTGAAAGTTCACGGGGTCCAATGTTGTACGTTTTTTGTGAATTTTAGTCCAGCTGATCTGGTCCAGTTTCTTTCTATTTTACCCAGTTTTGTCCTTTTGATACTTAACTGTAAGTAAAAAGGCGAATCATAGCATAAATAATAAATCCAGTCTGAGTTTTGTCACCATGCACTCACTAAATGACAGAAACAAAATTGTCAGTGGGTTTTTTGTCCGTACAGTGAAAGTCAGGTTAGTTTTAGTTCAGCTGATCTGGTCTGATTTCTCTCTGTTTCTCCCAGTCTTGAAAAAAGGCCAATCATAACATAAATCTGGAATAAATAAGCCAAAAATACAAGTTGCGCATTATTTACGCACTCCAAACCTGTATGAGCTTCTTCTGTGCAACTCAAAAGAAGATACAGTGAAAGCCAGTGAGGTCCAAAGTTGTTTCTATGTCTTTAAAATACCTTTTTTGTGTGTTTTCCCACACAAGACAGCAATGCATGCTGGTTTGAAACGACACGATGGAGAGTAAATGACGACTTGACATGTCAGACTGCAAGTTTGGTCCAGTTTCTCTCTATTTCACCCAAAATTGTCCTTTTCATACTGTACTATAAGTTAAAAGGCCAATCATAACAAAAATCATAAATAAATAAGGCAGAAATGTGAGTTTTGTCACCATGCACTCACTAAATGACCGACTTTCTTCTGTGAAGCAAAAAAAAAAAATGTCTAAATGTTTTTTTTTGTTCATACATTGAAAGTCAATGGGGTCTTTAAAATGTCTTCTTTTGTGTTTTTCCACAGAAGAAAGTCGTACTGGTCTGAAACGGCATGACGGTGAGTAAATGATTTTTACATGTGCTCTGATCTGTGCATGCAATGTTTTAGTGCATCTGATGTGGTCCAGTTTCTTTCTATTTCACCAATCTTGTTTTTTTCCTAAAGACCAACATTTGAATGAATAAATAAGCCAAAGTTAGATTTTTTTGATCATTAACTTTCTTTGTCTATATAGTGAAAGTCATCGGGGTCCAGTAATGTTTCTGTGATGCGATCTGGTCCAGATTCTCTCTTTTTCTCCCAGTCGTGTCCTTTTCCCCACTGTACTGTAAGTAAAAAGGCCAACCGTAACATTGAAAGAAATAAACCGGCCAAAAATGTGCATTCTGTCATCATTTATGCACTTCAAACCGATATGACTTTCTTCCACAGAAGTGGAAAGAAGACCAATTGCAGATTGTCCGGAGTAAATGTATACAGATGCTGCTAAAAACACACCATAAAAATGGCTGTGCCACTGATGCACTACCTCTTTTGAAGCCACACGATAGTTTTGCATGTAAATAATGACAGAATTGTCATTTTTGGCTGAACTAACCCAAGGCTTTCCGAAAATAAATTGAGAAATTTGGTGTTTGCGTTTGATTTGGTATGTGGAATTGCATTATATTTCTGAATTCCAGCTGTGTGAGTCTCTCTAAGACGACAGAAACAATAAAGCCCGTGGATTAGACGTGCGTGGCAGCAGCCGTATGCACAAATGCAGATTGCGGATTGAATATTCTGCAGGTTTTGGCGCGTCTGCTCGATCTGATCTCCTGTAGTCATCCAAGGGAACTAGGGCCACCGCGCGCCACATAATAACATTAACAAACACATGGATGAGTCCTCAGTGTAACCTCACGCATGAGACGGACCGTACGTGAATATCCTAAAGCAGCTCGCTTACTGTCTGGCCCCGGTTTTGAGTTTTGAGTCGTGCACCGTCTTGGCCTCCTAACTGCAGCTGACCTCTGGCTGACCCCGGGCTGGGTCTGATCGCGGCCCGTCGCTGACCCATTTCTCGCCTCTGATCTCTCTCCTCGCAGTACGGCGGAGCCATCGACCGGCCGGGGGCTGCAGGATGGCAGGTGCTAAAAGTTTGACAGCGCAGGCCAGAGATACATGTTTTGAAGAGAGAGTGATGCATGTGTGTGTGTGTCGGCATCTGCACCGGAACCAGTGCTATTTTAGTATTTTTTCTGACATATTCTAGTATATAATTTTTTCTGTTATATACGTTTTTTTTTTTTAATCTAGTATTTATTTTTTATTTGATTTTAGCTTTATTTTAACTAACAAAAATGTTTGCAATATTTGTAGTTTTAGTTTAAGTTAATAATAACCTTGACTGGCACTGAGACTCGATTAAATATCGATTACTGCATATATAGACTGATTATATATGACTTTTGAGCGGCGTTTGAGACGTTGTTGAGATCTCCTCTGTAACTCTAGAGGAGAAACATCTGACATGCTGGAGACGTTCTCACTCCATGATTAAAAGATTTCGTTTCAACAGTGTCATATAGATACTTTTTATTTTATTTTATTTTATTTTATTTTATTTTATTTTATTTTATTTTATTTTATTTTAAAGGATTAAACACTATAATATAAATATTATATACATAAAAATATATATTATATACATTTTTAAAATCTTAATTTGTTAAGAATTCATTAAATACATTGAAAAGTGTTCTTTGCTAAAATTGTTAATGCCACTTTGGAAAACGTAAAGAGCATATAAAAACTGTAATAATTAATTGTATCTGAGGATAAAATGGTTGTTTTGCATTTTTAACTTTAATTTGCATGAACATATTTCAACTACATATATATATATATATATATATGTGTGTGTGTGTGTGTGTGTCTAGTTGCCAAAGCAACATTTTTAAAAATTAAGTTGATGTATTAAAATAACTAAAACTGAAGATGAATAAAAAATAAATAAACATATAAAAAAACTCATAAAAATGATAGAACACAACAAAATTACTAAAACTTTATCTAAAATTTAAATGGAAACTGAAAATATAAAAATGAAAACCAATTTATACTATTAAATAACTATAATAGTATCAGTGATACTAAAAAAACCCCCACTGTAATCTGAAGCACAGTTGAGCACATTGCATTGTGGGATACAGTATTCAGTGAATGCAGTAGTTTCTGTGATGCATCAAAACATTTGCATACTGTGCACAGTGTGCATACTAAATACTGCAGAAACAGTAACAGTAGATGCTATTCTGAAATCAGTCTTTGTGATTGAGTCTGTGTGAGTGTGTTTTGAGAGTAACATGCTAATTGGCTGAGATTATTCACCGGTATCCTGTTGGTGTGTGTGTGTGCGTGCGTGTGTGTGAGTGAAAGTGAGTGTGTGTGTGTGTGTGTGTGTGTGTGTGTGTGTGTGTGTGCACTTTGGAGGGTCATGCGGTGACTCCCGCGTGAGGTCCGGCGGCGGCCCGCGAGTGCTGTTACTCAGGAACAAGCAGGGCTTTTATCACATCTCCAGCTCTGACTCAGAAACTGCATTTCGCCGCTCTCTCTCTTTCTTCGGGACGGTGAGCGGACGCAGTTCTCCGCAGCAGTTCAGCGCAGGAGCAGCCGTGCATGGGCCCGTCTCTGTGAGTCAGAGGTTTTTACACCTTTCGCTACGAAACACACACACACATCTCTGTCTCTCAGCCTACTCAGGCATATGCTGCTTATGTCGACATGTTTATTGCTTTAAAACTGACCCCACAGAGAGAGGGAGACACGTGCGGGGAATCCCAGGCCCCTGTCTGTCTGTCTGTACCTCAGTCTCTGGAGATGTCAAACCAGTGCTCTTGTCTCTGAATGCTGCTGTCAGTTCAACTGATTGAGGCTAGGATCTTAATGTTGGTTGAATGCAAGTAGTGAGATGCTTTTATGTTTAATATTAGTGTATTGTGTGTGATCTCTTTAGTGGCTTAAACTGGTATTATCATTATTATTATTATTTTTGCCTTTAATGTGATACATTTAAAAATGGCAGTAGACAAGACAAAGTACAGAAAAATGAACAAACAACAACAACAACAACAACAACAAAAAAGGAATGTACCGAAACCAAAGACATGTATAAACAGGGAATGTGTAGTGTAAACATTTTCCACAGCCTTTCAATAGCCTATATGAAAGGGAGAGTAATAATACTAATAATGATAATAATAATAATATACAGTTGTGTATACAATGTATTTGGATATAGTGTAGGCACATTTCTTGTATCACTGATGAAAACGCCAATGAGAAATGATCTAAAGTGTCTCACATCACCTGTATTCACACCAGTAGTTCTGCATAGTCATCTGATTGATATTAGTCAAACACAGACAGATTGTTGACTACCAGCGTAACATCTGGTTCACTTTGCATCTTTTCCAGTCTTGACTAAGGGTGCTTTCACACCTGGCACGTTGTTTCGGAACCTGGCGCGTTTCCCCCCTTAGCTCGGTTCGTTTGGGCATATGTGAACACGGCAATCGCGCTCGGATCCGCGCCAAAACAATCGGTCCGAGATCGCCTGAACGAGGTGGT